ATCTGCAGATCTAGCGGTTGAGCCCTTAGGATTAAGCATTGTTTGGCCTTCTGTCACTGCCTACCGCAGATTGGAACTAACATTTCCTTTTACCTTAGAAACGGTTTAAGGGCCGGGCATACTTCACGCGATTTCATTCGCGACGCGATTTGGCAAGTAGCCAGAAGTCTTTACATCCAACACTAGCAAACTGCACATGCATAGTTTGTATAAGTTAGTGGGTTCATAAAGTGCCCTATCTTCTGTACATTTGAATTGTGCTTACAGTGAGTTATGGACGGTTGGAATATTGCCAAATCGCGTCGCGATTGAGATCGCGGGAAGCATGCCCTGCTCTTTACTTGTTTTCAGTATAAGCGCCCAAATATTTGTGAAGACATTGACTTTGTGCTTATCAACCTTCAAGTTTTGATTGTGGGAGTCTATGTGTCTTCGCTAATCTTTTGAAAAATCGTTCATACTAACACTAGCTGATATAGAGAAATCGCATTGAAATCTGGGCTAAAAAAATGCTTATTACAAGCGTCAACTGAGATATGCTAAACTGAAGCACTGTTTACGCAGTTAAAATTACTTCAAATGTTCACTTCGATCATAATTTCACAAATGGGGTTTCATAAGCCTGTTGACTGGAAAAGGCCTAGGTTGTTCAATATGAGGTTTACCGCGACCTTTCGATTTCACTGGCGCAGTTTACTGTTAAGTTAGTGCAAGAGTTTCCAGAAGTTCACGTCTTCAGAATCTTCATGTGAAAACATTGACCGAATATAGTAGCCGTTAAAACATGTTCTCCTCTGCCTCACCAATTACAGCAGATCAAGTTACGATACGTTGGAAAGAGAAGAAAAAAGCTACCGTTTCAAATTTTGAAAAAAGAGGTCTCCGAAAATCTGAAATCTCCGAAAAGCTTGTGGACTGATGCTTTTCTTCGTGCCACTCTTAGATTGATGCATAATTATTGCACCAAAAAATAGAATAAAATAGTTTTAAAAATGCTCAAACAAACTAATCAATTTATGAGTATGCCCATTGCTATGTATATTAAAAGTAGTATTTTATAGTACATTTTAGAAAATCAGTATGAAGAAAATCAAAAAATAACTTTTGAAAAATCGAAGTTCGTAAATTTTCGCAAAGACAGTCAATCACTCTCAAGCTCTCTTAATCAAAAAAGAGTATGTTACAAAACCAAGAGCAGAAATAAATTCAGATTTTATAGAAGTTCTGCAGTTTTGGTGATAAAAATCGAAAAATCACTTTTTGGGCATTTTTCTTTATCACCTTTTATCGCTACCGTATGCCCCCAGAGAATTTTGACTTGAAAAGCTTCAAAAAGCGCAAGATTTTTCTCTCTTATTGGGTCTCAAACCAGAAAATTCCATTGATGGAATGAAGTAGCATTTTAAGAATTCTGGTGCAGAATTATGCATCAACCTAATAACTTCATGGTTATCGTTCCACTTGCAAAAAATGAATCATCCTTGCAGTACGGATTGTTTTGCATTCTGGATTTAAATATCGTGATGGGTCATCCGGTCATGCACTGACTCAGCGTTGTCGCATCTTTTTATATCCTGTAAGCCTTCAGTGCTTCAGATTAGTTGCTCAAACACATTTTCACGGTCCTCTAGGCTCACATAGCTTTGATTTCTACAATTCTTTCTGAAAAAAAATTTGATGCTGCGGTTTTAACTTAAGTCTTTTTCTGCTCAAATTTGCACGGCGTTCCTAGCTTGGAAGGTAACTTCTCGTACCACTCACTATACCTTGAAAGCCTTAAGAGCCTTAAAATCAGTAATTCCAAGAACTATTCAACATCAAATTTTGATTAATGACAATAAAGAAGGACTTGACTATCTTGAGATATCCTTTGACTCGAAAGCATTAGCACTGATAAATTCTGTATTCGCAAATGACTGCAGTGATTTTTTGACATGTTTTAGGGCAATTAGAATTTTGTTTTTCTGTTGTCAAAAAACATAAAAATTATATAACCTTGTCAAGGTTTGATAGCGTATGAAATCAAGTGTTTGTTCATGAATGATTTCGTACATCTCTTTTGGTTGTCAAAATCTGAAGAATCAGTAAACTCAACTGCACTATAACTAGCCAAATTCTGTGGAATTTTTATTGCAATTTTAATTCTAGACGTCTGTTGCTCCTGTACCAACACAAGAAAATTATTTCTTTGAAATTTTGTCAACTTCTAGATGTCAAAACTATAGAAAAAAGAATACATTCAACGCTTTTTCTCTATGAATTATTCCTGGATTCGCACACTCAAGCTTTCTTTCAAAAACTGTCTCTCAGCACCAGTCTTCACTTATTGTGCAGGAACTAGAAATACCAGTAGAAATCCAATCTAATACGCAATGATTCACACACTGAAAGTACGATTCGGCTGGACAGCCATGCAATTGCACGTGAAATGATTTGTTTAGTCAGCTGACCATTGAGATCATTCAGACATTTCTGTGCTCGTGGTCAGTGTTTTCACTCTCATTCACTACTGTAACCTTAATATAGGCTTGAAGTTCCTTAGAGTTAAACTGACAGATTATTATAGTTGTAGGATGAGCTACTTTTTAACGAATGTAGCTTGCTAATTTCATCTTTGATTCTAGCATTCCATAGTGACGTAAAAGCATAACTAGGGTGAGACGACTGCTAATTTTACTGTGCAGTAATAATTAATCACCACTCATAATTCAAAGAATTTCGTGACGTGTAGGAATATAATACCAGATTATTCTTCGCTACCAAATTCGTTGCATTCCTCCCTTCATAGATGTGAAGGATCGACCAAATAGACTTGTAGTGGTCTTCTACCTCTCAGTTCATCCTATTCTTTGAAGTATGGTTTTTGAAACTCATTTTCAGGGCTCGTCACAAGGTGGCTCTTGAAAAATGCGAAAAACGAAGCAGCACTCCCCCTTGACTTTCGCGATTTTTTATCCTTTGACCCTAAACCCTAAACCTGAAACAAACCGTCAAATAACGGAACGTCGACCTTAACAATTTTTGTGCCTTTTTGGTCTCAAAAAAGGAGGTCTAGCTTGCTTACAAGTCACCTGTGCCGAGCCTTGCCCATTTTAGACATAGAAACCATGTTTTGAATATTTATTTTACTTATTTATTTATCTAATACGCTCTAAGGCGTGTCACAAAAGCAGAAGATATAAATCAGAGATGAAATTCTTTTACAGGAGACGAAATCAAAAGGCAATGAATTTTTATCAGGTTTGGTTTAGAATAGAATATCATTTTTTGAACAATACATCAACCACATTCGTAAATAACTACTATCTGTTGCTGGTATACATATATAACACCCCTGCTGATGGATCATCGTGGTATCTGTATTCCAAGCATCCGGTAATGCAGCCTTGATGCAGTCGATTTTGAATTCACCCGAACAAATACTATCAAAAAATTTTCCGCGTTTTAGGTGCAATTTTTAGGCATCATTTAGGGCGATACATTCACAGTTTGCTTGATGCATATCGAATCAGGGGTGTGGTACCATCATCGACTGCGCTTCTGAACGAATGACTTTCATCAAGGTGAAAGCCGTTCATGCAAATTTTATCGCTTAAATAGCTTGACGTCTCGGTTAATTTGCATATATCGTATATGCTTAAGCTTTCCCTCACAGTAAGGAGGGAGTCAGCCAAATATGGCATAAGGCAGACTTGAGTCTCGATATATATGAATATATATATCGTAATGGTATATTATTCAAAAATAACGAATAACTTTCTTGTGAATCATAAAATCGGAACAATTAGTACCAATAACGGCACTGTAACTAACCAAATTTTGTGAAACTTTCTCTATGAAAAGTTATGATTTTGAGTTTGCTATAGAAAATGCCTAAATCAATCATTTTGTTTCATGGCTATATAATTGAAAACACTATTATGTTTTATGAGAGCTACTCCCTAATAGTGTTTTCAGTCCATACATAATATAAAAGGAGTTACAATTTAAGTAGTCTGAAGTCTACGAAATTCCTATAATCTGAAGTTCACACTGTGCAAATCTCGATCTCGATTCATTATAGAGAGCTTTGGAGGAACTCAGGCATTGCATCATGCTTATCATCTTGCTTGTTTTATTTTTCTAGCATAGCTCGTTCGATATTCAAATCTCTCACTAAAGTGAGCTGTCCAATTGCCACAAAATTGTCCAATTGTTGATAACCTACAACAGCCTATATCCAGGGTTCTTTGTCTATTATTTACAAAAACAGCGTAGGGTTGTTTTCACACCGTCGATCAAGTAAAACAGAGGCTTTATCAGAAATGTGAAAATTTCCACAACCCTCCTTGAACTTTGTTGTGGATCTTTAGAGCTGGAAACAAATATGCGCCAGTCACAAATACCTCTGACTATTACAGACTCGAAAACATCCTATCGAATTCTTGAAAAAGCAAATATTGTATAAATTCATTGAGTTTGCAATGCTGATCAACATGCGCTACGAAGGATCAGATTACTTGATTGTTTTGAGACCCTTTCTCTTGGATTCCGGGAATCTTGACTCCAGTTATGTGTAGGATTGTTTTCAGATCTATTATTTGCTTATTGGATGGAATATTGCATTTCAGTGATTCAAAATAACAATCAACAGCTTTCGTTCCGCTATCAGGTTGACCCGCAGACTTTATTTGTATAATCAAGGAGGGTCATGTAGCCTGCAAACAACTCAGAATACTAACATTCACGCTTATAAAGTGGTCTTGAATTCATTGCACAAGTGATCCACTCACTTACACGAAGACTTCCACGTTTCCAGTCCCAATAACTTTTTTTTCAAATTTTGGTGGAGGCTACTTCCACAGCTGCTTTATCCGTAACCAGCTGTGGCTTCCTGGATTTTATTAACGCTACTCTAAGCCATATAATCCCTCATTTTTGCTCGAATATCATCACATTTGTTTACCTTTTCGAGGTTTTTGAATATTATTACCCTTTTCACGAAAATCTCCTATATTCAGGATACTGGAAAAACACTGAGTATGGAAATACGAGGAGGAAGACGCCCTGAAAGTGTTATGCAGCTGGCCAGAAAATTCGGTGAAATTAGTGCTGCTCAGGTGCGGATATTCTTTTGCAGAATCATATTACGTTAGCTAGGGGGGGGGGGGGGTGGGCTATACTTGCAGGTGTTGAACAGGAGGGTGATGAGAACCTGGGATCATAAAGTTATAGTACAAGTTGTAATGCCGAGTAATTGGTGTTTTTTGATGCAAATTATACTGGGGTTACGATAACTAGTAGTAATGTGAAGTGCTCATCTAAAGTCATTTGGCGATCTAATGAGTTTGTTTATATAATAATGTGTAATTGCAGCATGTGTGCAGCATTTAGCCGGTTTTTTTTGAATGAATAGTAGCCACTCACTATTATGTTAGATGTAAGGTTGTTACACCTGAAGAAAAAAATCTTCGTATCTTCCCTCGAAATTTTACTCAATGAAAGGATGATCGCAGCTTTTCGAATATACAAATATCACACATGTAAAATTCAATTTTTAAACTGGTTTGGAATTTTGCCGTATTTTTGGCAGAGTCTTAACTTGGGAACTTAACCTTACAAAACGCCCTCCGTAAGAACTGATGCGCTCTGTCTACGGAAATTCTAAATTACTGACGCAGAAAAGTGAAAGAATTAAGAGATAGGGGAAAGAAGGGTGAAGAGCCGTAAGAGCCGTCACGAAATTTCTCTAGATTTTCAGCCCAGGTCCGTGGAGGCGTAAATGAAGCAAATAAATAGACCTTTGTCCTTTTGCTAAATATGATACTTGCCAAGTTTCTAAAAAAATTTCTAAAGCAAGAGGAAAATGTAACTAAATTTTATCACGACTTAGTATAATCAATCGTCTAAGAACTACACATTGTGGGCCACATTCGATTTTTAAAATTTTCTTTAGCATTTTAGCATCTTGCACTAGCTGACCCTGAAAATGAAGTGAAGAACCAAAAAAATTAGTCGCTAGGTGCCAATAGGCAAAATTTCTCCGTTCTTCATGCACCATCACGCTCTTTACACACCTGTCGCACACGTAGATACGATTATCACTTCGACTAATATTTACCATGCGACTATGCTGGAACTGTTGGAAGTGAAAGCGTTGCGCAATATATTATTGCAGTCTTGAAGGCAGAATATCTTTCGGCTAAAAATTTTGGTTATTTCTGTATTGATGTTTTGACTGAAATTGTTCCTCGAATCTTAGACGAAAATTGAAATACTATTTTTCGCGTGAAGAACTGCTGAAGGCGGTGTGGAAAAAAAAACAATTAGCCAATCGCCGCAAGTGGGCGGAGTCTTGAACCAATGGGCCAATCACCATCGAGAGCACCTTTGAGTAGATTACTGTTTTTGCTCTTCTTTTCTTCGCCGTAAATTTTCGTTAACGAGTTTGCTTGTGTTTCGTAGACAAATCGCCTGTGGCCTTTTTAGCATCTCGTAGCATAAAACTCCAATTTTTTGCGCAGTGAATGCTCATTCAATATTGACAGAACATTAGTAATATTTCTTTCAAACCGATGTTCTTTTCCTATTTCCGGTGCTCTTTATCAATCCCCGTGATTTTCAGCAAAACGATGTGCATCGATCAAGAAATTCGTTGATGGATGGCAAAGAGAACGCACGTGCTACAACAATTGGCCAGTCCAGAAGTGGACCATGCACTCCAGTAAAAACAGGTGCTTAGCTGAATTTGATTAATGACCATCTATATTCATCATTTAAACGGTGTACAAGCTCTTAGAAGCTCTTAGAAGTTTCTGGGAGGGCGGGACTACCACTATGTCAAAAATATGTTGGGAACCACATTTTCAAGATCTACAATTGCTCCGTTACCCATATAAAGGTTGACATTATCCTCACCTAGGAATCTTTATTGTCGCAGTATTTCTCTCTCCGATTACTAGGTTGAATAATAATAGACTTTAATCTGTGTGAGATAATTATTTGTGTAGGAGAAGGGTAAAGAGAACAGGTCGCATTTTTCTGGCCTACACGAGTCAAATATGAACTTCTCCTTAACCAATCTTTTGAATTAACCAAACCTCTCTATCAACCTGGTCTTTAAAAAAATTATATTATTTTGGAAAGTTTGATTTTACAATTTATCATTGCGCCTAACACCATTTTCAAGGATGATATTTGGCGGACGAACGTGATGAGCTTCTGAGAAAAATCGCTATTCTTCATAAAACTAAGAAAATCGCGTAAAGCGAAAGTTTGTCATGCTGAGAGTAAAACGAGAACATTTTTTTTCTCAAAAAAGTCGAAGTTTTCACACGTGTTATACAAAGTACTAGAGCAAAAACAAATTCCGTTAGGTAAAAAAGTGAAACTCACTACGTGGGCCTTCTTGAGTTACATGCAACGTACTACTTTTGCTGGAGATTACTTCGTGTAACTTCTGAAGTAGCGAGTTTCAGTTAACGGAATAGACCGAAAAACTTGTGCAGTTCACACCCGAGATCGTTAAAAAATCCTTACTTTTGAAAGTCCCAAGTTATTGATCGTAACAACTGCATCAAGCTATAGGCTCAATGTGCAAGCGCCGCTAATATTTTTCTTGAACATTTTTTTGTACTAAAGATTATCGCAGAAAGCTTCGAAAATTATCCGCGAACCCAGGAGGTTGCTTCCTTTTACACACCATAAAACTTACTAAACGAAAGCAAGTTATTTGCGTAGAGCAAACATAGGCGCTTCTCTTCCGTTATAAGCTAACCCTACCTATCAGTTTGTAGGTTATGCGGTTACCGTGCCCTCTACAATGTAACTACCGTACACGGAGAATATTCAAAATATTGAGCGCAGTAAAGCTGTGCGGATAGTGGCAATTACTTTTCAGTTCAAAGATAATAAATATCATCCCAAAATCTGTATCTGTAAAATATTTTCGGACATCTGAACTTTTTATCAGATCAAAGGAGTTTTTGCCAATAAAAATGTGATAAAAAGTGCGCAGTGTTTTGCTCGGCTTTAAAAATTTTTTATTAGCTTAAAGGTGCCGTCCACTCGAATCTGAGTTTGGTAAGGTTTCTATGCAGTACAGTAGCTGTTTCATCAACTAAGTGATTGTCCAAGTCTCGCTCTGAAAGGTGTATTACAAAGCGAGAAAATTGGCTCAGAGAAGGTTGGTGCTGCTAGGGTCGCCACGCCCACTGATGTCGGCGGTCTGGAAGACGTGAACTCGGAAGTGAGCTCCAAAATCTCTAAATTTGAATTATTCGTCACAGTGAACGACGGATTCTAGGCATCTGTGGGTTTTTCTGAGTCTACACAGTTTAGGCTTCATCATCTTTGGACCACCCACGTTAGTGGGCGTGTCGACCTCAGCAGCACCCATCTTTAGGAGCGATTTTCTTGTTTGGAAATACGTTTCTTGCAGCTGAACTTGGGCAATCGTTTAGTTAGAGACCTCGCTATTGCAGTGTACCAAAATTTTATCGACTTCAGATGGGTAAACGGTGCATTTGAACCCTGATTTTCGTAGGAGAGCTTGCCCCATCGTAGCTGAATTCAAGTTGAGTGATTCAAAAGTACTTTTCATCAATCATTCATGCGAGTAAAAGAGTGCATCATACAGCACATTGAGCACTTTGTTTCATGGAACTCCGAGGGTGATTTTTTGTTTTTCCGCGAAACTCCGAGGTGAAGCTGTTGTGTGCACTTGCGCTGGCTGTATGTGTGACAGTGTGTGTTTGTGCTTTTACCATCTCATAGACTTTCTCTCTGTTTTCAGTACACACAACGTCAGAACGAAGTATTGGCGGAATTGCCAGCCTGAAGAGCACTCGTGAGTCCACTTCTCTACACAATTCTTCAGCCATTGTTATTGAAGGTTGTAGACAAAAATCTATTGTAGTGCTCGTGCATTCGGTAAAGATGCACTGATTTTGAAAGTTTTCAAATTCAGTGCAATCTATTCTTTCTGCTGTGGTTACGCACATTTGCAAACTATTTTACCTTGCAAAGTTTTAAAGTGTCGTAAAAATTGAATGTTTTTCTGATAACATGAGCATAGTCCAAATTTACCGCTAAATAATTTCAAACACTCTTCTAAGCAATCTTATCCGTTTTTTTTTCCCGAGCAAGTCATCGTAAGCTGTATCAAAGTTACTCCGAAGAACAATGAATTATAGCTGCTTTTCACAAACTCATAAAATTAAATTCTCCTCCTTTGTGCCTATCTTTTTATGCTTGACAACCCCAGAATTCTACCTGTATGTAAATCACTTACAACATTAGTTTCTGCCGAGAAACCAGCTTCGAATTCGCTCTCAAATAAATGGCGAAGATTTTTTATGCAGTTACTTTGTGAGAGCTCGCAAAATTTTTGAAAGTACTTATATGTTATATGTTTATGTTATAAAAATGTTGCATGTAACTTGTTTAAACTTGTAAATAATCGAAATAATTTTTGAAATTTTTATAAATTCAAATTAGTCTTGTAAAAAAATTTTCGGGGGAGAGGGTGTGGCTAGCGCCACGCACCTTCACTCAGAAAAAATTTTTGTTGCCCCACCCCCCGGAACGAAATCCTTGGACCGCCACTGATAGACAGTGATAATGCAAATCTTTATTTTCTTTTCCATAATTTCCATAAAAATCGTGGTATAATGTAGTTTTTGTCGTAGATGAAATAATCTTCAATTACTGATTGGAATGGTGGCTGGCTTACAGCCTCAAAATGGTAATAGCTTCATCTGGAACGTATCCAGCATCCATCTTTCAAAGCAAATATGAAATTGCAACCACCATGACCGTCCTGAACTAGACTGTCCAAAACTTATTCACACACCTTTCAAAAAAAGATTTATGAGTGCGCTTCAGCAGAATACTTCAGTCAGAACTTGCCCAGTCCTTGGGTCATTGCACCGTCGCCCTAAATTACGCTTGTATTTGGGCACTCCAATGGAAAAAACATTGTCTGACAAGCGTTTAGAAACCTCTACGCCATACTGACCGGACCATGGACATATAAAAGAAAACCAAAACTTCGAACTATACTTGTGTCTGACCACTATGCCATCTTTGGAGTTTTTTTTTTGAACCATGTTCTGGACAGAAATAATTTTCTGCAGCGCAGTGGTTTGCTACGTAGCTCATGAATTTACACCTCACTCTAATCAAGTAGCAGTGCATTGATAAAATCTATCTGGTAATACTACCCTCCCCTCCCCCCCCCCCCCCATCTCGTATTGAATTTGTGAGTCATAACGCATTGTTTGGGCATCAAAGTCTCAGAACTGTAAAAATCATACTTATCGCTCCTCCTTGAGCTAATTTTCGCTATCGATTCTATGAATACTTTCAAACTAAACAGCGTCATTTTCTATATCCTGTAATCATTTCATCTAAGTTTTTTCCTGAGAGGCAAACTCACTTATAGAAGATTTCCTAAGATCTAGTTAGGATAAAAGAGAACTCTTCATCCACTCACAACAATCTGATCAAGCATGGTTTTTTTTTTCAAATGCAAATTTTTTTTGCAACACATTCTCTCCAAAACCACACCAGCAAGCATGTGCCGGAAGTTTGTTGACTTTTGCACTGTGCGGGGAAAAACATCTGTCGCCGCCAATCGCTCTCTGTTCTTTTGCTAAACAAAAGTTTTTAACAGTTTGAAGAATCCTTCACAAGAGCTAGTCTTGTTTACATAGGAGCACATTCTCTTAGAGCATTGAGCAAAAGTCGACTTTACACACCCTGAAAAGGTAGGAAAAAGTGATCATGAAGAATGCTTGCTTCCAAAAGTTGTGTGGAGAGAACCTACTAGACAGATGAGCAGCATGTATTGAGGGGGGGAGGGGGGGGGGAGATATGATTCGGCAGCGAGAACTGGTCCCTTTGTGTGAAGCACACGAGAAAAGGCGATCGAGGGGGTGCAAGGAGGAGGGGTTTGTTCACAAGAATGAGCAGAGCAAACTTTTTTAAATTGTTCTAAATGCGTTATAAAATCTTAGCTTATCTTTACTTGTGAATGGTCAAGATGTCAAAATCACAAATTTTGGAAATTTCGAGCAGCGTTGTTCGAAAAAGTTCGTGGTGTAGCTGTCGTCAATACTTTTTATACGACCCCAGGGTTACCAGTGCGCGAAGAATTAAGAAGCATTGTGAAACATATCTGGAATCACGCCAATTTTTCTATGAATAATGTCCCCTCTCTCTCGAACCTTAGACTATCGCTGCAGAAGAATCGTAGACTGATTCAAACGCGAGAACTGGTCCCTTTCTTGTGTTAAGCCCAGCCGAATAGTGGCAGGCTGAGTAGTATAGGAAAACGTAGGCGAAAGTCGAGCTCTTCACGAGAACGCGAAATTTTGAAATTTGCCTAAAATGGGTGTAAAATTATACGCGCACTTATTTTTGTTTGTGACTAATCGATACAGCTTTATGAATTTCATTATAATCACATAAGGTTCATTTAAAATAAATCTGTGTTGTTAAGGCTGTCATCTCATTCTTCCCAAGAAAAATTATACTTCTACCGATATTACGCAGAACTTCTTATAGGAAATGGGCGACTCACACATCCTTGTCCAAAAGTGTTTCTCTCTTTCCTCCCCCCTCCCCCCCCCCCCCGAAAAAAAAAGAGAAATCCTTGGTACCGTCTATATAAGCTTTCGAAGATGCAGGCTTATTTGATCTGCGTGAACTTGTAAATTTGTCCCAAGCGAAAAAAAATAAGCGTTTTAAAAAATGGACTATTATGCGAAAACCGATCCCTTGCAGTGGCATGACTCCTGCCTACACTGAGTTGAGTGAAAGAAAACTTTTCAGGCGATTTGTCAGTAAATGCATTATGCGGGGATTTGTCACGCAAGGTGTCGGATACCGTGCGCGGGGGCTGAAATTGTCACTCTCGGTGTTTACCCTCAGTGCCACCGATCGCCAGCCGGGGCATTAGCCACAGATTGTTCCGTAAGAGTTGTAAGGTGTGTGTGTGCACGAGAGCGACGATGGATGAGGTTTAAAGCCGCCTCGAATCCACGAGTCTCGACTCTCAGCCCCCTTGCTTTATTACAATGCTCCCGTCGTGGCGCAAGTCCCCGGCTGATCTGCCATCGTTTGCACGATGTTATGCTCTTTATAGTTCTTTTTGCTTGAAGGCCAAGGGGGCACATATTGTCGTAAGGTTCGGTCAGCTCCTAAAACCATCAAGGTCAGCCGCTGGTGGCCCTAACGCTTTTTCTAATCGCGAACGCCCTCAGCGGCACGTAATCTCTTAGAAACGCTTGAATAATTCTCTCCAGTGTCACTGCCACCATCGATGTTCCTTCAAATCTCTTCGTTCGACTTTGATGTTACAGTAACCGCTGAAAATTTATTGCTCATTTATCATCTATATAGAAATGAAAATCTCATCATTAGCTGCACAATTCATCTTGTTCGCTTGAGATGCAGACGAACCGTGGTCTACATATAAACAAGAGAATTCAGCTATGGTGATATTTTAGGTTTTAGGTGAAAAATCCTTCATTGACCACTCCCCTAATTTTCTCCGTAAGAAAGAGTTGGAAACTCTCAAATATACCATCGCGGTCATGCTCTTCGATAAGAGTTTGGCCCCTTTTCAACGAGCTCATCACCCTGAAACATTGAAAGTTTTTTTACAAATTGTTTGAATTCGTAAATGATTTTTTTTTAGATTCAAAAGCAAGAACCAGTTTTTTGTGAAATTTTGTAACTCTTGGTGATCGTTCTCCAAAATCCTGCAAGTACCGGAAATATACTCGGAGAACGAATTGAGATTGCTATGAACTTCTCTTTGAAAAGCACCTGCCCTTACAACCGGAGCCTTACTATTATTCAGCGCTATCAAAGTTAATATTTTTTGAACGTTTTTTAGCTTTATTTTTCTCTAAGAAGCCACTCGGCTTGATTTTGATCTGCGGCGAAACGTAAAAACATTTTTTCAATATCTTGAGCAATGTTTTGTAAGAGAGCTGCACAATCGTACTTTTTAGTGTAACATTTACTCTGTTTTCCATCTGTATCGTTTCTCTAGTATGTTTTGCTTTGTCTCATAATGTAAAAAATATGCAGTCACTAGCAAAAAATCGCTTCAGTAGTAGATCACTATTGCCTATCCTCAAAGTACATTACAGAAAGTTTCAAATCCCAGTATATTAGAGGCTCTCATGATAATCCACAAAGCTTTGTGGTAATTTTTGATCTACAAAGAAAATTTTGCATTTTGAGGCCTGGCATCAGCTGGCAGCGTTCTTCACCTATGCCATGAACCACAGAAATAATGATTTGGTATGCGAGAAAAAATGTTCGACACAGATATCTTTGATTCAAACAACCACATTACAACAGTTTCGATGCTGTAACTACTTTGATGATCTCCCTGACTGCCTCTTTTACCCATTAAATTTTTCAATTTGGTACAAAACCATTCAATCGCTCCCAGAGGGTGCTGCGTTCTATATAAGGTTCCAATTGGTTTCACTTTTTCAGACAAAAATGTGATGCAGTTGTGTCATAACATACATATGTACTGCCGATAATTTGTTAACCTCCAAACGAATGATCGTATTGCTGGGCTAAAAATGTGCTATCGAGAAGTTTTTGAATATGATTCAAGAAAGCTTCTTCTCATCTGCATGTTTTTCGAACCATGGAAGGAACAAGCAGATTACATCAAATGCTCCTTTCACAAGGTCTTAGTGCGGTCATAGGGTTCACTTAGGGTTCTGGTTTAATTTTTGCAGTTGAACTTACAGATAGATTCCAGATAATGAACTAAAATGCTCAGTTTTCATTGGGATTTGGCGCATGTTTGTAAAA